CAATTGGTTTGTATTATCAAGTTCAGCAAAAATAAACCTTTATTTAAGTATTTTAACTTTGGGGGTGTGTCACGTGACAAGATAAGTCCGTTATTTGGCTTGAAATTTTCAATTGAAAATGGGGTATATAATGAATTCTTCGATTTACATGTTTGATATACCGTTTTGTTGCTTTTTATTAGGTCTTTACGACTACGACTTTTAATGTTGTACACATAAAGTATTTTAAGAGTTATTTGATGAAACAGGTCACGTGACCTAATTTGCATATTGGTTTTCCCTTTATATCTTCATTCACAATAGCGATGGACGGGATTAAAAGACGTGATTATATAATTATTTAGTATATCTAATATCCATATAAGTTTCAGGTCGACTGATGAACATTCCCCAATTTTCAAAAAAACGTTTTTGGGCCTAAAATGTCACGTGACTCATAAAATGAAAATTTTAACATTTAAAACTCCTCAAAATCTTAATCCACATCCCCCATAAAGGTTTCACTACAATTGCTCGAAAACTCTTTGTGTTATAACACGATAAAGTACAGCCTCGTTTCAATGCTTAGCCAGGCCTTAAGATGCCTCTGTAACGACGAAGTCTAAACACAATTCGACGACGTCTAAACACAATGCGACGACGTCTAAACACAATACGACGACGTCTAAACACAATACGACGACGTCTAAACACTATACGACGACGTCTAAACACAATACGACGACATCTAAACACAATACGACGACGAGAAAAGGCACGACGACCACGCCAACGACGACCACCAGGATCTATCATTTGAAATCAATATACATTAGTTATTTTAAAATATTGTGTACTTACTGTAAGCATCACTGGAACATATTTTAAGGTGTGTGCATTGCTTTAGCTTTCTCAAACGATTACCATAAGAACAACATTTAAACGTATATTATGGCGATTGGATTATTTAGGAGGAATGTTTTGCATGTCTATGCAACTATAGGTTTTCTAGAACGTCTAATCGGCTTGCGCAAGTACTTGTTTGATTAATTTTAATCTTAAAAGTCTGTTACAATATTATTTTTAAATTCGTTTTTAAATCAAGAAAGACAATTTCTTATAACTTTAAACACAAATAAATTTTGACTTGGGAACCATGGGTATAGTAACTTGAAGCGCCCTTCACCGTATTTATCTTAGCTCCCTCTGTGTCCAAATATGTATCGGAGTGTCTAAACGTCAGACAGCCAAAAAGTCTCAAAATGCCGTGCTTGTGTTTGAAACTTGTCGAACGGTATTATTTCGAAATATATCCATCTTGAAATCACAAGTGAATCCTGCAAACTGATTGGTTCTTAGCAGGTTGATTTCAGCCTAAATTGCACCATTTTAATTCTTAATCGCTCTCCTTTGAGGAGCCAATCACAATGCAAAACAAGTAAAAGGCAGCCAATCACATTACAGGATTGTGTGTGGTTAACCAGTCAAACTACAGCAAAAAGGACACGCAAAAAGTACATTTTTTGGTTTTACAGCAAATATGTTTATTATAAGTAATAGCATGGCTCTGAGGGAGATTAGGGATTAAATGTCCCCGAAGCCGAGGGCAGATAAGTTGAAGTCCCGACGGCCGCAGGCCGGAGGGACTTTTACTTATCTGCCCGAGGCTGAGGGACATTTAATCCCTAATCTCCCGAGGAAGCCATGCTATTACTTTGTAATACCATGATTTCCGAGGAAAAAATTGAACTTGAGCGAATTTGAATTCTTGTTTTTTTTGTATGCTCCAATGTTTTCAATCAGAAGTAATATAAACATTGCAACAAACAATTCATGCATGAATTGGAATGTGACATTAAAAGAAAGGATACGCACTGTTCTAAGAGTATCACTCGCCGAACAACAGTACAAAATGATATTGATAATCCGACCATTGTTACTGATTTCCCACAATGAACTTTGTTTGAAATTGCTTTTCAGTTCTATTCAATGCTGAAGTTAACGAACCTTAACTTCAACCGCGAAAAGTTGTTTTTATATTTGCAAGTATAATGCCAAGAAGCTTATCAACTATTATCAAACATTGAAATTCGTCAAGTGCACATGCTCAGCSGTACGAAGTAGATAGTACTCGGAAACAGAGCTACTCGGTCAATTTGTCCCAAAAATCATCCCACATTTCAGTGTGAATGAGACGATAACCAGACCGTTCATTGCAGAKGTRAAAVRAAGACAGCTGTAGGGACATTCAGTTGTCCCTGCTGGGAAGCAAAGGTTTCCTTTGCCTTCCGTTCCTCATGAATAACATGAATAACCTTCGGCTCGGATCTTTATCACCCGATACAACACGCTCTCTCGTTCTGTATACATTACCTAACCTATAAGGGTGTAGTAGTCTACCATAAGGCAAAATCAAAAACGCTGTGTTTGCCTAATTAGGAAGTTATCATTATTTRTTGGGGRGAGGGGAGGGCCACATTTTTTTGGATGTGTGTTTAGGGAGGATTGSATTTTTTCAAATGAACTTTAGGGGAGGGTCACAAATTTTGGACTGGTGAAAAATAAATAAGGATAAGGCTTCTTGTGTTTATCTTATCAAAAAGCTTTAGTGGAGATTTTTCAAAATTTTCCCTTGCAGGAATGTTTGCAAAGGAAATTTAAGAGAGCATGAGTACACTGTTTTGTACAAGACGATCCGGCAGAACAGCTACAACATGCTGGGATAAGGAAAACTTATGAGTAATAAAAATGGGAGCATTCTGAACTAAGATCGCTGACTCCACAGAAAATGGTTAAAATTGATTCAGTATTAGCATACGATATTACACCAACAAAGGATCACAACACTTATCATAAATGATTGTTTTGGACAAATGTAATACGATACAGCCTTTTGCAAAAATTATGAGAATTGTCGAAATATCTAAATATCATAATATCGAGTGCATGATGGGTAATCCCGTGCGATGCCCTTAGTCACTTGTCTTTGTAGTTTAGTTTTTTTTCGGCGACAGACTTATCCGTAGTTCTGAACATTTTCTCGATGTCAACAATGAATTATTCTCGCAAATCCGCGTGTTCCGGACAATATATGGATATGGATATTATGATATTTAGATATTTCGACAATTCTCATAATTTTTGCAAAAGGTTGTAAAAAGAAATATATATATAAATAAATATATAAATTGAATAAATTGAAGAAAAAGGCACGCAACTTGCAACTATTATCCCTACTCTTTATTTGAACGTTTCGGCACTTCGGCCTTCTTCAGCAATAAAATATATATATATATTTTTTTTTTTTTGGGGGGGGGGTCGTAATGTTTTGTACCCGATTCAAGGGAGGGCCACATGTTTTTCTTTGTCTTACAAGGGAGCGCCTCTATTTCTCAACAGGGTTCGATGCAAATTTAGTGGCCCTCCCCCCAGTAAATGATGTTCTTTGCGTAAGAAATTCTGCTGTCAAATGAACAACGGCTATTCGCTTTGAATTCGAAAGTGGAGTATTATCCAGTAACGATCTTTATATCAGATAAAAAATGACTAAATGTATACCTTTTATGGTCTGAAATAAGTATCTCCGTTAATTTATGCGTACCTTAGACGAGACCTCGACTGTTATTATGAAGTTGATATTTGTTTCGATAGAATGYCAACGCAAGGAGAACAAAGCAAACACCAAACAGTTACYATCAGACGCAGTACTAGAATCATGACCTACTCTAAACACCGCGAGGGATCGACGTACTTTACTCTAAATACCACGTGATAACATCGTCAAGCCATGGATGATTGAAACGTCTCCTATTCAACAAATATCTAACATGAATAACCGCTGTTCCTTTGAAAACGTCGAGAATGGCTGGAAAGTAAGGGGCGAATGTTTTAAAGAAATAAAACAACAGGAAAGAACGTGTTTTGACTATATTATTAGATGAGATCACTCGAATCCCTCGTCATAACACCGCTCCAATCACGTTCCCAGGGAATTTTCTCGAAAGTAGAAAGGGACATGGTAATGGATTTTSATTGCCTAACTCAGTTTTGTTAAACTTCGGCGGCATTCCATTAAAAAAAAAGGCAGTAAAGCTTGGTGTCACGTGACCGGCCGATTTCACGGCTTTCTGGCACGAGTCTTTCGGTTTTCTCTTAAATTGCATGGGGAAAATAGGAAAGATGTTTTTTAAACAAATCCGTCATAGCAAATGATTTCCAGAACACACTGAYACACAAAAGACTTCATAAACAGAGAGAAATGTACATGAAAAAAGCCTTGAAAAATYACGAGCAGTATGAGCAATCTTGACATGCGGCAACAGCTGGACCTGATCAGATTTCAGGCTTTACAAAATTTTAAAATCCGAACTTATATCAATGAACAATAATGACTTGWTTAGGTAGAATTTGTCAGCAAATTCTTCTTGATTGATTCAACGTATGCCACTAGTACTAACAWAAGTACATGCATTGAAAATTCGCCGTTTTTGCGACTACATAGAGATATCGACTATCAATATATAAAGATACCAGCGAAAGACAAATTGTTCTTACAGTTTATAAGAGAGATATTGATAGTCACGATGACGCGTTATTGATATTCGGGAAAAATCACGCAAGTCTTAAACAAACAAATAGCACACACATAGCTTAGCAACCACAAAACATTCAAACCATGCAGTGAGCTAATATAGACCCCAGTATATCTAACGTTAATAAACGCTAACAAAAAAGGAAAGCATTGGRTCATCCATTTCATTTCGAATCTACTGGAGAAATATTTTTACCGGAGTTCAATCATGAACTCTGAACAGCGTTTGATTGAAGCGATTATGGCTTGCAGGATATACCAAACTAGAATACTATTGGAGCTTGGGGCGAAGGCAGAGTTTCTAGATGACTATGGCTTTAGCCCTTTACTACGAGCCTGTCAAATAGAAGACCGCAAACGAAGAACAAGAATGGTACTCATCAAACTGCTTATTGAGTACGGTGCCGATGTGAATACTAAGGACCCACAAGGCCATCATGCACTGGCATACGCGTGCCTTACTTCCAAGGAGGACATTGTTATCCTTCTTCTAAACACTTCACTTCATGACATYAACTTGAACCAAAGAGACAAGAATGGTAGCACACCCTTATTCCATGCTATTAGGAGCGGTAATTTAAAGATTGTAAAACTACTTATTTCGTCTATGAATAAATTCGACATAAACATGCATTTTAGAAACAACGCAGACAGGACGCCATACCTCGAAGCCGTAATGTTAGGCAGGACTGAGTGCGCGAGGATTTTGCTAGAGGAGGGCCACGCATCAAGTGGAGCACAAGTTAACCCTTTTCTTGACTATTCAACTACAGAAAAGACATATGAGTGTGATACCCTTTGGAAGAAGATTGAAGATGATCAACAACGTGGTAAGAACGAATTTGTCTGTCAAACGGCATCTGCAAAACGACGGGCTCAGCGTTCGACATCTTATCAACGTAATAGAGGCCTATTGAAGAGAAATCAAAATCCAATCAAAAAATGCAGGGAAAAAATAGTGCCCAATGATGTTGAATCAAAGAGATCACTTGATCCAAAAATAATTCCAAAGATTGACTGTCGCTTCACTAATGATCAAAACACGCTGATGAACCGAAAATACGTTCATACAATTGAAATGGAAAGAATAACAAACGCAGACAGTCAGTGTACTTTGAGTGCATTCCTGACCGATAATGCGACGCATTTTATACCAAGACATCGTAGAGCAAAAACAGCACCAGCGAAAAGCAGGCGGGCGGTCACAGACGAMGACATCACACCATCTATGAACCATTTCAATATTATTATGACTTTGTATGGCGAACAGCGTTCACCAGATTCATCCTATAGAAAAAGTGTGAAGCCAAGAATGATATCCGACAGTACACCAGATGGACTCGAACATGAACACGATAAGCCTTCGGACGGTCGTCGTTCTTCAAGCGGTAGCGTTCGCTCCTTGCCGGGCACTGGTCGAACAAAATTTTCAGCACTTCTAAACCGAGTCGCAGCCTCGTCTATTTCAAGCAAAAAAATACCAGGCAATAAACCCAGGATTTGATGCATAATTTATTTGACTTTCAAACTTCTAAAAACAGAAGAAGAAACASTAAGGTTTTATTCTGATGTTGTTTTACCAATTAAAATATTTAAAAATGCAATTTGGAAGCGTAGAACAATAACTGTGCCTCGTTAGCGCAGTAGGCAGCGCGTCAGTCTCATAATCTGAAGGTCGTGAGTTCGATCCTCACACGGGGCACCTTTTTTTTCGCGTTTTATTCTCCTTTTACATCTTTTTTATTATCATATATTTTTAAGATTTAAGCACATTTAACCAAATTGACTTTTTTGACTTTTTTTTCAAAGATACCTTTATCTAAGAACCGCGCTACGGTCCGCTACGGTGCTGTAATACAATACAATAACACTTATGTAAGAACAAGTGGGTACAGTAAATAAAGCTTCAAGATTTTAGTTTAAAAAAGTTTTTGATTTCTTTATGAAAGCCAAAAGATTTTTAGTTTCCAACTAACGACAAGTTGTGTTATTTCTTAAGATTTGTGTTATGCACCCGACGTGCCGCTGTCCAGGGTATGGTTTTGACCTTGTTGTCTTAAGGGTATACATTTCACTCGAAATTGCCTTAAACAGGCTCTACAATTTAGATAAAAGACCGATATAATTTTTGTGTGTGTCTTGGACAGGATAATATTTTCGTAAGAAATAACGTAGAAATAGTAGAAATAACGTTTCACTGTAACAGGATTAACGTGTTGTCAGTATAACTGCAGTTTTGATGGTTGCGGCGTAGATAACGATTCCTTATTTTTCCGATTTGTCTTGAACAGGGTATGGATTTTTACTTTCTAGTGTCTTAAACAGGGTCAAGGTTTTAGACCGCTGGCGGCACGTACCTATCCAAAACGGGGTCGAGTACCCCCCCCCCCCCGGGGGGGGTTATGCATGAGTGATTTGAAACCCCCTCAGCGGGCATTCTCTTTTTTATGAAGTGAATAATAGTGAATACCCCAGTCACCAGGGACAATTTAACAGGTGAATCCCCGGTAGCAAGAAAGGAATTGAAGTGCAAACCCGTAATTGTCTCTTGACTGACTGATTATTCATACAAAAATGATGAAACAAGGGAAATCGGTTTAGAATATTAACTTCAAAAACTCATACATAATTAATGAGTTATTTTCTTTATATATAAAGAATACTAATAAGGGTGACCTTTATCAGATATAAAGGTCCATGACCCTAGCAAAGGTCTCAGTTTTGATACCTCATCATTGACCAATGCAGGATGTCAAGCGACTCGAATCTTTATACCTGATAAAACTCTCTAGTGTTTTAAACTATACTATATACCACAGGCCACCCAGGATCAATTCTTTAGGTTATGTTATGAACTCGCGGTGTCGAAAGTACGAACCGTGGGTTCGAGCCTTGTCTGATTTTTTTTTCTTTTTCCTCCTTTTTTTATAGAAATATAGTCGCTTATATCATATTCACTTATTCCTAAAGCAGATTTTTATCGAGCCATTTTTTTTAGTTTTCCCTGTTTGATTTGTGGGGGATGTGGGGAGGGAAAACTAAAAAAAAACGACTAAAAAAAATCCCCTTTAGGAATAAGTGAATATGATATAAGCGACTATATTTCTGTAAAAAAAGGAGGAAAAAGAATTTTTTTATTTCAGGCAAGGTACTTTCGGCACCGTGAGTTCATAAATACAATCACCGCTGACCAAAGTGACTGCCCCGCTATCGAGCTGTACAAAGCATTGAAAAGAAGTGAATCTCCCGASCACCAAGGCATATATAATAAACGCCGCTTATGCCCCGCTAACGCCCCGAAGGGGGAGGGGGAGGGGGGGGGGGGTTACAGGCGTTTCAATTGACTTATGCATCAGTACTCCTATGACGTCGAAACTTTCAGCTTTCACGCAAAATGATTATAAAAACTCCCTTTCCCCTAACCACAGTTCTGGTGCTTGGAAAGAAGCACAGCCTGAAAGTTGAGACCAAGATTTGAAATAGGAGTGGGTATATCATAGCTATACGTTCAAATATTTGAATTTGTAGTTCGAGAACTGAATTTTGCTTGACAAAAACAGGGGGAAGGGGGGTACTTCCTCCCCAACTTGGGTGGTGATGTTCCTAACGACCCTCAAAACCCTTACCCTATCCCRGACCAATTTTTGTGATTTTATATACCCTACCCCAGACTAAAGGTACAAAGGTACATTATTTCAGCGCTGAAATAAAGCGTGGCCTAGCAGATACGATCACAGGCAAAACTCCACCCTACCCCAGTGAGACTATACCCTATCCTAGACAAATAACTACCCCACAAAACTACTACCCTATCCCAGACAAAACGACTACCCCGTTCCAGACAAATGGGCAAAAAATAATACCCTCCGAAAAATGGACCCTCTCGAGCGGCACATACCCGGGCTCGAGCTACAATAGACCACCTACTGTATGTCAAGTAACCTACTGATTTTATTAACTACCTATATTATATTATATACCTTACAAACGACTCGAATTCATAATCATAACTTACAACAATATCACCTCCAYCAGCGTTGGCTTCATGYACATCTGGCCAGCAATAACAACAAGCAACAACAATRACAACGAGAACAGCAACAACAATGGCGACAGCAATTCTCGATACATGAGTTTATTGGTTTATTTTTATTTATGTCAGTTGACAATTATTCCAAAAATGATAATACAAACAGTGCGACAGTGCATTTAACGGCAAACCAAATATTCGCTTCTCAATTGGTATAATTTGTACTTTATATCAATATATCAGATATATGTATGTACACTAAATACAAGCGATATTCTCCTATCATAAATAATCAAATAAATTATTTTGCAATAAATATTTATATTCGATATTTCTTACGAACTACGTGGCAATYTTTGACTTGACTGTGTTAATTCTAAACTGCTTTCAAGAAAACTAGCAGGTACTAGTCCTTGACGTCCATCGATGGTTGCATCGTAAAAGCCATCTTTGTTCAATGGTCCCACTACTGTGATGGACTGTCCTTTCCTGAATGAAAGTTCAGAGTCGGAGTTTTTGAGAGGAGACTGTAGTTTAGGGTTGTAGTCATACAAAGCGATCATTTTCTTCCGATGTCGTGGTGAAGGTGTAGCATTAGTAATTAACTGTGGTGAKTCACGATGCTAAATATAAACATAAAAACATTGATTACGACTGACATGAAAAGAACTCGTCACGAGGCTCTCAAAAGGTTTGGCTTCGTCTTTGAATCTTTGGTTAGTTAACCAAAACATCAAAATTTAGCTATTTAAACACATTATTCCTATTTTTTATCTATTATTCAATCGTGATAATTTTAAGGCAAGACCACTTTGGCGACTTTCGTGACGAGTGTTAGTGGTTGTTAGTCTGTCCAGCTAGTTATTTTTTAAATCTCTTTTCCTGTTACATGCACTCTTACATAAAAAAAAATTTTGTTCATCGATTTAGTATACATGAGTGCCGATTAGCTGCAATTTCATGCTTATCAGAGTTTCCATGCAGTAACCGCCTTATAAACGCTTGGAATGTAGAAACAAACTGACTGGAACTACTTGCACACTAAATTATGTGAACAATTTTCTCGCTCGCAGCACACTATTTCAAACAAAAATGGGATCCCTATGTCGGACGATAATAATCATTTCAAAGTCGATATTTTGGAGTTTGAGGCGATGTCCGTATTTCTGAGCCAGCAAATCTTTTGATCAGCGGTCCACATTTCAGAGCGAGCTTTGGTCGCTATCTTTATGATGAAATGTTTGAAGAGGAGGTTATATTCATCACAGTAATAATCRCTTTAGCGATATTTCTAGAGGAAGACAGTGTGTTTTTAGTCTTTCAGCATTGTTATGGGCTAACACGTTCGATATTTCGACATGGAATTCTCAGATCATCGAACAAATTCTAAGGCGATGTCTTTTGAAGATCACTCGACCTACCCGATGAAGAGATGATTTATATTCTTTGAACTAGCTACGTGTATGTACCTGATCGAGTTTTATATTATCATAATATCAGAAGATATACAAGTTTAAGTTAAAGMAAATTATCATTGATAAGATGTATCAATTTTGTTATAGAATCAAGTCTTAGAATCAAGTTAAGTACTATATTAGCATAACATCAGATAAACAAATGACTAACTAAAAGCAAACTATCAAGTTTATATTATCATAATACCAAATAAACAAATTTATACTATGTATTTTAGGAAAGAAAACGTTGTTTTTATTTCTTTAATATCAATAAAAACTTTTAAAATCAGGCTTTTATCTTCGCTGAGGACTCTGCACAATCCCACAGCGCTCTTCTTAATAAAGATGTACAAACCAGTRATAAAAACTTTTCATACACGATTGTCTTTCTCAAGCATCGCAGCACTTACTTTTGATAAAAAAAACTTTTGTCACTTCCGGCTTTAAAATGTTTATAAAACGCTAAGATTTTTACCTTACGAGCCAATGAGGAAGGCCCATGAGTTTTAGCCACGGCCACTTCCTCGATGAAGTTGGAAGGAATAAGTCCTTTTTTCCCATTCAAAGTCCCGAAATAAAAACCATCTTTTCTGGACGTGTCTTCAACCCGTAGAATGTCTCCTTCGTTGAACTCTAGTTCGTATTGTGGGTTCGCATTTGGGGAGCTTTTCAATGGATTGTAGTCGTAAAGAGCTACAAATGTGCGACATTGATCCACATTGCCAATAGTACCCTAAATGAAATCATAAATACAAAACTATTATAAACTCACATCTCTCTCCTTGAAACTCCTGAGCTATAGAGGACTGGGCCATAATAATTCAAAAGACTAAATAAACAACATCGATATTTCCACATAGTCAAAATAGTCTTGACCACATCATCCAGCCCTCGCCCCCTCTACTGCAAGGTCAAACGGCCAGACACTTATTTAGCTCTGTAAATATTTACACCTGATAAAATACTGCTGCTCGTATCTCGTACTATGCACGTGATCATTGTACTCACCTCAATGGCTCTACCAATCGACATCTACAATCAAAAAGAATTCATACATAAGTCATTTAATTAGAATTTACTCTTTTTTACATTCAGTCAATCATCAAGTCGCTGTCATATTCCTATTTTCAGCATTAGCCAGGGACTGTGGTTTGGATACGAAATGATCCCCTGCTAAAACTGCTTGAGAATCTATTGCAAACCAGTTCCAGTCCACTAAAATACTCATATGATTTATTCTCATTCCGCTGAACGTTTTCTTGCGGACTTCGGGTTGATTTATTCTTACCCTTGAATTGTTAATGGTATCGGTAAAGGTAGTAGATGTCTCTGGTGATAGCGTACTACCCTCTCCTATAGTACATATAGAAAACTGGATAGGATATCGAAGGTCAAGATCATCAACTAACGCCTTCGTCATGAACTGACTTCGAACATCCATTTTGTAGTCACCATTCACAAGAACCTAAAAATAATAAAATCATAATAAAAATGAGTGATATATAACATAATAGTAGAGTTGGTCTAGTAGGTTTCCACTTTCATTTACTGCTTGACCTCAGCTGATTGTACATCTTCGAATCTTGAACCCGATCCCTTACAATGTGGTACGGTCGCGGCTATTTTCCTTATTTCCTAACTGTTCAGGTTTAGATTAAGGCATTGGCAGGAGGTGAGGATTTGTGATGCCCTCAAGTTTATCAAAAAGAATTTATCTACTAAGATACCGAAAATAAAAGTTCTTTACTTCACTTGACAAGTAACTTTATCATCACCTTGTAGCCCTTGACAGTCGTTCCGTTACTTCGTCCAAACTCGTCCATTTCTGGTAAAACCCAACCTAGCAAGATGGCGTCATGATTGACAGTTCGAATGACGTGGAGATTGAATGGAGGTTTTGGTGGGCCTAAAGAATAGAAATAGTCACATTCCAGTCCTTGGTGAAACCTGCACTTACATGGATAAGTTAACTTACCACGTGATCCTCCAGCTAGTGCTCGAGATACCGTTGYCTTGGATTGACGAGGTTTAGGTTTATTCACAGGTTTCAAGGTATTGTTCTGTACTTCTGACGTGATTCGAGGTGGTGATGTCATCGGTTGGTTTGGCGGTGATCTCGGCGATCTTCGTGTGTCATGTGACTTCACAATTGGTGCTGCTAGTTTGTGTACTTCCGCTGGTGTCATGTAAGGAGTAAAGATTGGTTTAACCGACTGTTCTCTTCGAGGAGTCGCGACAGCCAATGGTTGAGCCACGTGACTTGGTGGTATTACGCCATTGGTCGACGGAAGGCTGTGGTCCATGTGATTTGGTCGTTCAGGATGAGCGGGAACAGGCAGTGCAGCCAATTGATTAGATGACACAAAACCGACAGGGGGATGGCTGATAGAGACAGGCGTTGGCCGACTTGGGGCAGGCATAGGTAAAGTGGTCCCTAGAGCTATAAAATGTAGTAGCTTGTAAAAAATTCAAACGAAGGCATTACAAGGACTGACCTACCTGGACGTTGAGGAACAGATACTTTGATATTGTCAAACATAGATAGGATTTGTCTTGGGGCAGTAGTAGAGCTACTTGATGTCTGGATGAAAACAGTCTTATTATAAACACATATCAACTAAGTATAAAAAAGGGTTAAAAACTAGAACATTAATTTCACTATCATAAACCTTACCGGCTGAAGATTTGTTGGCGAAGATACCTCTTCTACAAAGTTGCAAGGTACCAAACCAGTCTGACCTAATGTGATAACATGATGAACATCTTTTAAAATTCCATCACTGCTATTAGAGCAAACGCACGAATACCATGAAATAAAATCAAACTAAATACCAACAAATAGCGGCTATTTGTTAGTTTTTAGTTTGATTTCATTTCATGGTTTTCCTGCGTTTACTCTACTATATTTAACAATTAGACCTCGAGGTCGAGTGGACTACGAGCTAATAACCCATGAGGCCGGGTCCGTGAGGCCGAATGGGCTATTAGCACGTAGTCCACGAGACCGAGAGGTCTAATTGTTTTAGTATAAAAATACTAATCAGTCAAATAATGAAAACAAATTGAAATGTTCTTAGAATAATTTATTAATGAGATGCTGCCATTTTGATTTTCCCGCGAGTGGTCTATCACAAATTAGACCATTAGTAGAGTAACCAATCACAGCGCAGTATGAGTGATWGACCATTCGTATGTTTATACTAAATAGTAATAGCAGTGATGGAATATATGGATGACATATCACTGCTGTCACTATATGGATGACATATCAGTGCTGTCACTATATGGATGACATATCACTGTTATCACTATAAAGATGACATATCAGTGCTGTCACTATRTGGATRACATATCACTGCTGTCACTATATGGATGACATATCACTGCTGTCACTATACGGATGACATATCACTGCTGTCACTATACGGATGACATATCACTGCTGTCACTATACGGATGACATATCACTGCTGTCACTATATGGATGACATCACTGCTATTACTATTTAGTATAAACATACTAATGGTCTATCACTGCTTTTGCTATATGGTTGACATATCATTGCATACCATTCATTTCCGCACGATAATAGCCATGAGCATCCATATCATCGTACACGATCAAGATATCACCTTTCTTGAAGGGTAAATCTAACTCAGGCTGTCCTGTCGTGCATGACTGGTAAGGATCATAGTCAAAGAGTGCAATGAAACGCTGCTTACGAATATCAAGGTCAGAAGCCGTYGAACAAGGAGACATACTTTGCCGGCCATTKGCCGCCTAAAAAGAAGGAAGGACATCGATAATTAGCATAGATGAATTACACTGTATATTGCATTGGCACGCTATGCAGGCGCACACGGTTRTAATTAGGGTTGTGAATTCAGTTATGTAAATATGCCAGGATCTCAATGATTTTTGTAAACATATTACAAACACAAACCCTAAAAATAAACCAAACCACGTGCACGAAAYAWCAAGGATGGTAGAAAAGAAATTGYGATCATACTTCATGACTRTATCACCATATAGTCAAAAAATAGYGCAAAAAAGTCAAAACACGCGGGTTTTCCAGTGTAAGATATCCGCTGGTATCAAACTTGATTCATTTGTACACATGTGATTTGAATGGGAGTACTTGAAGTTGCTTACCTCACTATGCATGCAAAATGCATGCAAAAGATATAGACATTAGACCAAYGTAGAATGTGAGGTTAATAAGATTTTTGTAAGGTTGATAGTGTTCTCATAGTATAACATATTCTGAATCAAACAATTGCGGTCCAGCTTAAAAACATTCTAAATTGATCCTTTTCAACCATTCATTTAAAAGACTGGCGACCATGTTGGAGGAATGAACAATAGATGCTAATGAGAAATCCTTTCTCTAAATTCCTCCAAGATGTAACTTGAAAACGAAGAATTGACTATGGAGTCGTTAACATAGCAATATAAAAGATTCATTTCAGAACAATGTTATTGCAATTTGTCCGCCATTTTTTTATTCATTCTATAAGGCTGCATATGACTATGTGTATGCAAAGTTTATGTTAAAATAATCCTGTTTTGTTCGCAAAGGGCAGTATGATGTACCTCGCTGTTGTCATTTGCTAAGGGTTTCCTTTGTTTATCAACTTGATTAGAACTCAGACCTTCCTCAACTTCTTCTATGTAGAGACCGGGTACTAGTCCTTTGACRCCATTGAGCTCTGCCTCATAACAACCGTTTATGTCCATATCGCCAAGCAAAGTCAGTTGATCACCCTCCTTYAAAGTCAGTTCCTTGTCAGGTTGTCCTGACACACTCGCTGCTTGAGGGTTATAATCAAATAATGCAACGCATCCTTTGGGAAATGAAGACATACGAGAACTACTTTTTGCTCTTGGACTTTTTACTTCCTATAACACCCAAAATAACAGACCAATTTACAATCAGACAAACTGAAAACAACAATCACACTTGATTTTTGAAAGTGCTTACAGAGGTCAAGTTATCTTGTGATTTAATTGAGACATTTCTTATCTTTCAAAACAATTTCTTAACAAGTGCAATCCACGTATAACCGTTGCCAAAATACCCTGGACCATAAAACTGCTTACAGTCTCACGTAATTTCCATTCGTTTATTCATTGCTGTTTCCCATTCCTTTGTTTTTGGTGATTTTGTCATATGGTAACATTGCAATTTGCGGACTAGGGGGAATACATTTATGAGGCTGACTAATACTCAAAATAGTGAAATCCTTGTAAATGCTCGATTGAAAGTCTAATGTCTTCCATACAAAACCTCCTTTGAGAACAAGAAAACTTCTTCCGTTTATCGTATAGCATTGTAAAGAAAGCACTGAACCACAATGGCAAAACCTAGGTTCCGTTTAYATATACAGGACGTAGGCTAATAGATAAATCTGTATTATTGCAACAAGTGTAYTATACCTCTAATCGCTTCATGCCCTTTTTGCCAGAATACTTGACATAGCTGGGACTATATCCATAACTCTTTATCTTAGATAAATCATCAAGAGTTGAAGTGGCTATTGCGTGTCGTAAATCACGATTCTCTTCATTCAATTTATCAATAAACTCGTCTTTTTCCTTGCAAGCCTTTTTGAGTAGAGCTACTTTAGCCTTGATGAAAAAAGAATGCGAAATTTTAACAATGACAAATTCAATTGAAACACTGATGCAGCCCGCAAGGCTAGCTGTAGTTTACCTTAAGCGTTGGTATCTGCGTTTCAAAATTGTCTCTTTGTCTTGTAAGCTCAGCAACCTAATAACAAAGGAACTGGTCAATGTCTATGARAAATCTTGTATCAGTGCCCGTGTAACCAGAACTCGCTGAATAATCCATTTTTGACACAATTTGAACCGGCTACGGAAGTCGTACCGTGAAGCGCCCAAAAAGTGMGACTCCATTTCGTAAACTTTTTATTTATTTCATAAACTGTTCATAAAGCCACTCACACTTTTTAAATAAACATGAATGTTTATCACAATTAAGTAATGATTTGCCTGCAGGCAGGCCAACGACAAAAGCAAACAAACAAGTGTGAAAATTTTATTTGATTATCTAAAAAAATCCGGCTTTGTGATTGGTGGAGACCAAAAAATCCCGAAAAAAAGCCGTGAAGTACTTCATTTTTCGACAATTTTATTGGTCGATATAGACCTGCCATTCATTCCCTTTGTTCATGCCTACTATTGGTGACTTTGTATGCGCCAATTAGAAGCTAGAGAAGTCAAACACTTTTGCATACTAAGGACTCATYCGCCATCTTGGATTTACTGCTTGATCGGAAGATTTGTTTGGGTTTAAAGACAATTTTTTTGAGAAAACTGCTCAAACTCCACTCTTAGAATATGTGGTCATCAAGTTTTATTCATTTTATAACTTAATAAAGACTTTTTGTTGCAATATTCAATGACCTTTTACTGTTAAAATGCCTTTCAAAAATGTTTGTCGTTGTTCGCGTCGCGCGTTTCGACGAAGAGCCGCTAACGTCACTATTGCTTTAGGGAGGACGCTTTCAAGAAACACTACATAATATAACAAAGATAACGAAATATATATAAGTAACGAAATATCTACTCTAGTGACGTGGAGTGCAATGCAGTCCGCGTCCTGGGAGTTTTTGTATCGTTTATCAGCGTCAAAATGATAAAATYAATGAGAGCAACAAGTCAAGAGTGTTATGAATATATATATATAGTAGCGTGAGACGTGATGATTCGTGTTTATTCTCTACCTCGTCGAGTTACAACTCACTTTAAGTAACTAGACGCATAGCTGCGTGAACTCGGGGTTCTGCTTGAATATATCATAAAACGATGAAGTGACAACAATGAGTGTTGTAGTCGAAGAATTGAGAAGATTTGGACTATATTGAATCTTAATAAAGTTAATAGTCATACTATCAAAAGGCGTAAAGCAAAAAGTACTTCCTGGAATAAAAAATAATAAAAAAACAATGTACTCAGCATAAATATCATGAAAAAATTGATCATCAGCAAGCCGGTCTTTGATAGTCACATGACAGGCTGTAAACACAGAGTCTTTTATCTTCTCCGCTCTTCCATTCGTCGGCTTTTCCTCAGAAGAATCTGTTCGCATTCCTTAGACGAGACCTTAGTAGTTTTAGAGCCTGCATAAGTTCGTATACAGTTCGCTTGTGCTAAGATAGGTAGCTTGTTTAATAGACAATTCTCGATAGACTCGATCTYGATAGACAGTAAGATAAATTCTCGATAAATTTACGTTATCTTCTGAAATTCCTTTTTCGGAAAAACGCTGGTCATATTTTATTGTGGCTTTGCCACGAAAGTGTGGATATTTTAAAGTGATTTGAGCGTATTTGTAGACGTTGAATTTCTGTCTTCTTCCACCTCGCGTATTACAGTCTCGCCGACTATACATGAAGTCATCAGTCGAAAAAAATTCTTAAATCACAGACACACAACATTAAAGTACTAAAATACCTTGAAGATCATAATAGAAGTTCTCTCTGAAAGTTTCAACCATTTTTGCTGTTTATTCGTTGAGTCGTTGAGTTATTACTCTGCGAACAGAGGTACTTTTACTTTTCTCACCCGCTGAGAAGCGAGAAAAAAATTTTTCTCTCGCTTCTCGGCGGGTGAGAAAAGTACCTCTGTTCGCAGAGTATTGAGTTATTAACGCGCCAAATTAACCTCGGAAAGCCTATAAATCTTAAAGCAACTATAGTCTCAGCATTAAATTTAATTTTTAGAATGATATTGTTAGAAAACTGAAGCAAAATCATTACTTTTGAGCTTATTTCGACACTCGGAGTTACTGTCCGCGTGGTTGTGTACTGGATAGTACACCATCAGGGCTTTCCCATACATTCCCTTGTAAAGTAAGACCATATTCAAACGCTTATATTTTTGCTAAAAAATCGCAGTTTGACTTCAAACTTTGCATAATCGTTGGGAATTATATGCTGTTTTTGGCCATGAACATGAAAAATTCATTTAGATCTTAAAACACAGTCTTTTGTAGTTATTTCTTGACCTGTCTAAAACGCATTGAGCCGTGATAATCCCATATATTCTTACCAATTTTGGTTTGCTCGTATTTCTGTTAAAAAGCATTATTTTGGCTCAAAATTTCGCAATAATACTTTCATTWAGATGTTCTATCGAGGACAATAATAATATTTCGCTAATTTGGTCTCTAAATAGCATTTTTAGAATAACACGTGATTATGAGCTTGGGCTACCTGTGGACAATTTGTGACTGATAAGCGACAATGAAAATACTCTGCGAACAGAGGTACTTTTCTCACCCGCCGAGAAGCGAGAGAAAAATAACCTCTGCCTACTTCCGATTATTATTCCGTTGAGCATGCGCAAGTGTGACGTAGCATAACGTATGTCAAAGGTCAAGGTGCTAAATGACAAACCACATCAGAAAGTTGATGTACGGGAGACTTCCCGTGGCCGATTGGAAGGTTTACGAATGTATCATTTTGAATAATATGGTAAAAAGAGTGCCAAATTTATGTTTTGATAGTTTTTGTATGTTTACATTTAATTTCTTCAAGCAAATGCTAACCAAATCTTGGAATTCTCGAGTGGAGAGACCTTTACCCGCCGTATTGAATTATAGCCGGAGAGCCCACAATAAAAACTAGCGGTAATTCGCAAGGTGATAATGACGTAGACGCGAAAACCGGTTGAAACTTTGTTGATCAATAACAAAAAGGCGACTTTGATTATTTTATAGGCATCTTTTTAAAAGTATTTATTTTCTTGGCCTAAGAGGTCAACAATTTGAATTAAAAACGTAGACATCTAGTCTGACGAGAAAGAATTACATGACCTTTTAGGTCAAAATTTAGATTTCTATCGTTTTGAAGTAGTTGCAGAGAGCAGTCGAAAAGAATATCATATCGTGTGAATAAACGGTCACGCATTCTTGCTTTCACTATGTATTAGAAGTAAAAAATATAATATTCTACGCCATGATATATATTCAAAAATAGCTAGTCCGACTTCACGCTCCGAGAGAATACATTGGGTATAATTACTTTCTAAACATTGTTTTGGCTGATTTTATTAGATTTTACGATGATCAATTGGTGTCTGTAGTTTCTCAGATTTTGACATTTCTTTTGTGTAATGCGACTTTCGACAATCTGCAACATTGCTACTGGAGTTGGAAGTAAATTTCTTCTCGATGGCGCATAAAACTTTTTAC